TAGCACCTGCGGAGTTGAACTCCTGGCTGCCAGATCAAGAACCCAGTAGCCTGTGACTTCAGCCCTGTTCACTGCAATTTCATTTCTCTTATATTTCTGCTTCATGGAGGTTTTTATCTTGTTTTTGAGACTGGCAGTGTCTATTATTGCTGTGTATTTGGAGCAGAACAGAGAGATACTTTGAAGCATGAACTTACTGTGCCAACTTGACTGAAGGTTTTTTAACTTGAAAACAACGTAATCAGATATTTTAGATACTTTTCCCCTCCCTCCCCACCACTCTCCCAACCTCTGGAGGCATTGTGGAAGGTAGCTTAGAAGGGAGACTAAAGTTATTTAGGACACCACAGGCCACCAGTGATTAAGGTCTGAACCAAGGGAGATGGAGAAGAGAGAATGGATTTAGAAGATATTTAGTAGGTATAATAAATAGGTGTGAATAACTGAATTTGGGGAAATGTATATTCATATTGCTAACTTAGAATAGAGGTAAAAGTCACTGACAAAGGAATACGAGAAGAAGAGTAGATTTTAGTAGGGCAGTGGGCCAGGAGGAAAGTCAGGAGTATTAAAATGTTTTATAACTATTTGAAGCCTAATACCTAATTTTTAAAAAAGATTTTATGATATGTGTTTTTCCTGGTGGTGCATCTCAATGCCCCAAATCTTTGAATTTACCATATTTACAAATCTGTTTACATAATGTTCCTTTGTAAACTTGTATAGATTCCTCTCCAGCATTTGGGAAATTTTTCCTCAGCATATTCATTTATTTCACAAACTTTTCTTAAGTGTCTCTTAAACATTGTTTTGGCTTTCATGGATGTTAGAGTCTAATGGAGGAAAAAGGCATTTATTAAATGGGCAGTTATAAACTGGGAGTACTATAAAAGGCAAGGTGCTATGGAGTGTATGAAAGCAGAACCTGACCTAGTCGGAGGCTGGGTCTGTGTATGGGACATGGTGGGAGGGGTGGCTAACTGTCAGAGGAAGGCCTCCCCGAAGAAGTGAAATTGTTGTTCCACTGCCTGGTGCTGCGTCTTTATGTGACTGGCTTTTTCTTGTTGTTCAAGACTGTGCTATATTATCTCCTCAGTAAAACTTTCCATGACCACACCTCAAATTAAATGTTTATCACCCCTCTTGGTTTCCTTTAAATCATTTATTTTTTATCTAAAATTATCTTATTTATGATTATTGGATGTTTCAACCAACTACAGTATAAGTGCCACAAGTGCATGGACCTTGTTTTTTCCCTCACTTATGCTCCTGTTGCTTAGAACATTTCCTGAAACTGAAGTGTTCAAGAAATTGTTAACTGACTGCATAAGTGAATGTTGGCTGTTGATCTCTTGTAAGTTGCTCTAGTAATTTGATCTCCTTGTCCTTTGCTTTGTGTTTGAGAGGACTCTTCAAGTTGGCTTTCTACTTGTTCATTTTTCTATCATGTGGATCCCACCCTCACTCCATTGTGTTGTAATAGAGGTTGCTAGTTGTAGTGTTGCACTCTATGGCCAAAGTGATGGGCATGTGACTGTTTCAAGCTGGGCCACTCAGAGTCATTTTCCTGATACTTCAAATAGAAAGGAAGGAATGGGAGCCTTCTCAGGTGGCAATGTGAGGTGTGGATTGGAGGTGTAGGTGGCCATCTGCATATCCAGATAAAAGAAGCCCATCTACAGGAAGAGAAAACAAAGGCATTATTACACAAGAGAAAAGCAGAGATGGGAGAGATAAAAAGGGTTCTGGTAGTTTTCCAGTCTCTGCTTCATTTGTACCGGAGACCCAGTTGCAACCTTTGATTTTCCTGTGACTTTTGCTTTACCCTGTTCAAGTAGAATTTCTGTCACTTATAACCAAAAGATTCCTGATCAAAACAGTATATAGTTTTATCTTCATTTTAACCTGCTATTCAACTAACAATCCCTTCATCTCAATGTGTTTTAGGTAATGTCTTTGGATATTGATCTTTTGGCATAGTTTCTTATTTCAGAGAATCCGTATTTTGTACCTCCCTGCCTCCATTTCTTTCTTTTGCTGCCTAAGTTTATTCTGTTTCCAGTACTATTTTATTTTAGTATGATGTCCTCCTTCGTTTTCAGAAGAGAAGAAACATATTGGTTAGAAGTCAGTAGATGCCATCTTATTATTACTATTGTTATTATTTAACTTCTTGAAGCAGGTTTATTGAGTTCTTGGATTTTCTCACTCTTAGCTTTGATGTTTTAGAACAGCCAGGTTAATACCCACCATTTCTAGGGTTGGAGAGAGGGAGCTAGGGCAGTGGCCAGAAGCTTTCTTCTGGGTGATTTCTTCCCTATTTTTGGTAAACTGCTGTGGCCTGACCTTGCTGATGCTGCTGACTGCTACCTCAAGGAGGGGTCCTGATGCTCTGGGAGAGGTCCTTCACCATTGCAGCTGGCCTTCTGCTTGGTGTAACTGCTTGTCTTTCAGAACTGTTGCAGCTGCCCTTAAAGTGCACCAATGCACACAGACTCCCAGGAGAGTATTCCACATCTGTCTTATAATTTCTATAATAGTTCTAACCTAATTATAGGAGTGTTGTAAGAAATTATTTAAGGATAAGCGACTTTTTAGGCAGCTAAGTTGTAAATTGGCTCTCAGTATTTTTCATCAATCTGGTGCCATTTGCACTATGTTTTGCACTATGTCAAGGGAAAATTAGAGACTTTCTGGTAGTTTGTTCCTTTACTGATTAATTTACTCAGTAAACATCTATTATGTGTCAAGCACTCTTCTAGACTTCTCTGCCCTCATGGAGTTTATATTCTTGGAGGAAACAAACAACAATGAATATATAATATTAAGTAGTGATAAATACCAAGGTGGAAAAAAAAAGCAGGCTAAGGGAATAGAGAGTGATAGGGGTGGGGCTGTTTTGGCGAGGGTGGGCAGAAGGAAGGCTTCTCTGGGGTGACATTTCAGTAGAGACCTGAATGAATCTAGCCAAGCAAAGAGTTCCTGGCAGAAGCAACTGCCAGTACATGGCTCTAAGTGGATGAAGAGCACAGTAGGATTGCAGAATAAGGTACTGGGGTGGCTAGAGTAGAGGCAGTGAGGGGGAAAAGGGAAGAAGATGAGTTCCTGAGGTTAAGAATGGGAAAACGTATTTTTTATGTCTCCAAAACCAAGCTATGTCAATTTTCCAGGGGAAAGACAGTGTCTGACATATTGGCCTCAAAGGCTAAAATTCACAGCAGACTTCTGTTTATCATATGACACTGTGGTAACCCAAAACATTGTGGGATTTTTTGATTGTGGACTACAAACTAATCATAGGAAGTTATGAGCATTTAGAATGATAAGATTTGAAATAGTTATAAAATAAATTTGGAAGAAATAAATGACTAAGAAGTGAAATTATATAAAATAATCTTGGAAAAGATGGCAAATTGAGCAAAGGTTTCTTTTTTTTATTTTTTATTTTATGGGGGTACAAGTGTTAAGGCTACATATATTGCCCATGACCCCCTCCCCCAAGCAAAGATTTCTGACACTGTCGGTATCAATCTTAATGAAATGACTGGCAGTTAGAGAACATTGTTTGTTGGCCCCTGTCATCTAAATATACCCTGAATTTGACCATTTCTCATTACGCCTATTGCTAGTAAATTATAGTTAGGAAACATTAATACTTTAATTCATCATAACTGGAGGCCGAAATAAACATACTAGTGGATCTTTAATGGACCTTTTGGTTTACTTCTGGAAGGTGGCTTGGGAAGACCTAATGTATTTATGTGGGTTGGTCCCAAGATACAGAGAGGTAGGTGATTTCCTTTATCATTTCTTGTGGGAGAAGGTTGAAAATAATACTAATGCCCTATATTTGAATGAGTTATAGGTTACAGTGTACTTTTATATCTGTGAATTAAACTGAATGGATGAACTGCTTTTCAGATAGGCTCAGGTCCAGACAGATCATCCAACTGGCTCAAAGTCACACAGCCGGATAAGGCAGAGCCATCACTGCAATTCTGGTCTTTGACTGTGCTCTGTCTATTAATGGCAATAAGTTTTTTTGATAGGATGTATGTCAAAAGCCAACTGTACTCCCTTTTTTTGTCTCACCCCAATTGTACACCTTTAATGCAACAGATATTAACAACGTTGTGAGCACACAATCTGCCTGCCTGCATATGTGCCTGTCTGTCAGTTGTTTGTGCTGCTATAACAGAATACCACAGTCTGAATAAATTTATAAAGAACAGAAATTTATTTTCTCACGGTTCTGGAGGCTGAGTGTCCAAGGTCAAGACACTGCAGGTTTGGTTGTCTGGTGGCAGTTGCTCTGAACTCCCAAGATGGGGACTGGATGCGGCATCCTCTGGAGGGGAGGAATGCTGTGTCCTTGCATGACAGAGGTGGAAGGCAAGCAAGAGACTAGTGTTTTCTTTTATCGGGGCCTTTATCCTATTCACAGAAGAGGAGTCCTAATACCCTAATCACCTCTTAAAGGCCCCACCTCTTAATACTATCACATTAGTAGCACCTGAATTTTGGAGGGATCCATTCAACCCATAGCAATCTATGTATTTCTCTACTTACTTCTTTCTTCCACGTATGTATATGGTGTTTTGTTTTCCCCTGTGCTTTACAGCTTTGAACTGTACTATGTATATTGCTTTAAATCTTTAGCCATATGTCATGGTCATATATCTAGGGCAGTATATCTAGATCTAATTAATTCCTCCTCTTTGTATACCTATGTTGTTTAATTATTGCAGAGTGTATATTGCTTTTAAAAGGAAAATCCAATAATGTGTTTAAAGTGAAAAATATAATGCCAACATATGATACGGTTTTATCATGTATTAATGAGTTTACTACTTAAACTTTAAGTTATTGACAATTCCTTATTTGCTATAGGTTTTTTCACTGCTCACATTTTTATTTTTTCTTAATTTTCTATAGAATAAAAAGTGATTATACCCTTAACTAGTATTTCCTTTTCTAAGCAGATTCAATGTATTTTTCAGGTTATTATATTCGAGAAAAATCTAAGCAAGTCATAACATTGCTGATGGATGAACAGTTGCTACATAAAGAGAGGGATGTGGCATGTCGGACGAGATGGCGTACCTCCTACTCTATGACATTTCCTAAAAAATTACCTGGTACAGGTAACTCACCAACAGCATGTGCTTCTGCCCCTACACCAGAAGTTCCTGCTTCAGAGAAGAAGCATAAGCTTCTTAAGGTTGCAAGGCTACGTAATAAAAGTGCGTATAATAAACATCGGCCTAATGTGCAATAGATATCATTTAAGAATAGTTAAAAAGCATAAAATACTATGTTTTATTACTAAATTATTAATACTATATTAGTACTATTATTACTATATTAGACTTCATACTGTAGAGAACAAAGATGTGATTCAATTACAAGATTTTATTTGTAAATAGAATGTGAAGGAATATTGTTTTCTGAGACTAGGTGTCTGGGTATGTGTGCATGGATACTATTTGATCCTATAAATCAAGAAATTGAAATTTTCTGGAATGTGCCTCAAAATCCTAAAGGTTCTCTAAAAATTCTTCCAAGACAATACTTTTTACTCTTTCCTTTGTCTAAAACTTTATATCTGGACTACTGAACTTTTTTAAAAAAGGAATTTATTTGTAATATTATAATAGAAATCAGCACGAAAATGGTATTGTCTTTTCTGCCAAATTTGCTAAAACTTAAAAGAATGTCATTTTGCTCTAACTTCTCTAGTACAAACTCTGTTGATAAATTATGTATGAGGAATGGACAATTTGAAGAAGCAAAAACATTAATGAAATGTGATATACACAGCTGACCATTGAAAGGAACTAAACTTTGTGCCTTAAATGGAGTTCACAGTAGGAGTAATATAGTACCAAGTATCTTCAGAGGCTTGCCTCCTAGCTTTATCATGTAAGTCTATTGTTATGAACTGAATCTTTGTGTCACCCCAAAATTCCTATGTTGAAATCGAATCCCCAGTGTGATGGTATTTGGAGGTAGGGCCTTTGGGAGGTGGTTAGGTCATAAGGGTGGGGGTCCCATGAAAGGGATGCATGCCCTTATGAAGGAGACTCCAGAGAGCTATCTCACCTTCTTTCTGTCATGTGAGGATACAACAACTCAGCAGTCTATAGTCTGGAAGAGGACTCTGAACCAGAACCTGACCAATCATACTAGCACCCTAATCTTGGACTTCCAGCCTCCAGAACTGTGAGAAATAAATTTTTGTTGTATATAAGCCACCCATTCTATGATCCTTTGTTATAGCATTCTGAGCTAAGACATTGTTAAGCAAAATCCTAAAAGAGCTTCGGGTAGTCAGTATGAATAGATAATTCCAAATGTCAGTTAAGTATGGAAATTTAAAAATGTTAATAGTAATACCAACACAAACTGATCATGCTAAAATTCATTCAAGTACATCTCTTAGTTAAGAGTCCTCAAATACTCATTCAGTTTGTACTTGTGGATCGGGGAGATAGACATTCAAAGAGGTGGCCATCACAATTATAGTAGTGATACTACCCAAATGCTTCTAAAAGTGGTGGACAGTATTTCTTTAGAGTACCCATTTCTTTTGAAATAAATCTTCAAAGTGACAGCAACCCATCCTGAAATTTTCTCATGGAAGCCTTGAATTCAAACTGACATTAAAACAGAGTAAAAGAGTAAAACAACCAATTATGGCTTACCCAGAGTTTCTTCACCTCTTTTGCTACTGCTGTTGTTACCTTTCTTGTTCTTCCTTCTTCCATTTCTCTTCTCACTTCTTTTCTTTTTCATTATAAACACATAATTATTGAATTTATTATTTAAAATTTGGATATTCAGCAGAAATTTGGAGCTACAGTAGTGAATAAAATGAAGTTCCTTTCATCATGTAACATTCTATTTTTTTTTGTTTTTGTTTTTGTTTTTTCTATCGTCAGTCCTGACCTACATCATGTAACATTCTAATGAAAGAGACTAGGGTGTCTCTGTCACATAAAGAAAATAGATGTGAACGTGTCAGATAGTAACGAGTCCTATAAAGAGAAAGAAAGCAGCGTCGGGGACAGAGGATAATAGTCATGGCTTTATGTTACGTCAGGAAGTGAGGGAAGGAATGCCTTTTAGAAGAAGTGAATATTTAAACAGAGACCTGAATGAAGTGAGGGAGCAGGCCATGTGTATGCCTATGTCATTTTACTGTGTCTCATTTTATTGTGCTCCACAGGTTTGTGGCAGCCCTGCATCCAGCAAGTTTATTGGTGCCATTTTTCTAATAGAATGTTTGTACTTTGTGTCTCTGTGTCATATTTTGGTAATTCCCAGAATATTTCACACTTTTTCATTGTTATTATGATTCCGTGATTAATGATCTTTGATGGTACTATTGTATTTGTTTTAGAGTGCTGTGAAATATGCCCATAGAAGATAGCAAACTTGTTTACTATGTCCTGTGTTCTCACTGCTCCACTGACTGGCCGTTCCCTTGTCTCTCTTTCTCTCCTATTCCCTGAGCTACAACAGTATTGAAATTAGGGCAATTAATAACCCTACAATAGCCTCTAAGTTTTCAAGTGAAAGAAGGAGTGGTATGTCTCTGTCACATGTCTCTTATTTGAAAACAAAAACTAGAAATGATTAAGCTTAGTGAGTAAGGCATGTTGAAAGCTGAGCTGGGCTGAAATCTAGGACTCTTGTGCTAAACAGTCAAATTGTGAATGCAAAAGGGTTCTTGAAGGAAATTAAAAGTGCTATTCCAGTGAACACACAAATGATAAGAAAGTGAAACAGTCTTATTGCTGATGTGGAGAACGTTTTAGAGATCTGGATGGAAGATCAAACCAGCCACAGCATTCCCTTAAGCCAAAGCCTAATCCAGAGCAAGACCCTCTCTTTAATTCGATAAAGGTTGAGAAAGATGAGAAAGCTGCAAAAGAACATTTTGAAGCTAGTAAATGGTTGGTTCATGAGGTTTGAGGAAAAGAAGCCATCTCCGTGACATAAAAGTGCAAGGTGAAGGAGCAAGTGCTGATGTAGAAACTGTAGCAAGTGGTCCAGCTAAGATCATCAATGAAGATACTGTAAACAACAGATTTTTCAATGTAGACAAAATAGCCTTTCTATTGGAAGAAGATAATATATAGGAGTTTCGTAGCGAGAGAAGAGAAGTCAATGCCTGGCTTCAAAGGATAGGCTAACTCCCTTGTTAGGAGCTAATGTAGCTGGTGACTTTAAGGTGAAGCCAATGATCATTTACCATTCTGAAAATCCTAGAGCCCTTAAAATTCCTTTCAAAATATTACTGTTCATTGGCAATGCCCCTAGTCACCCAAGAACACTGATGGAGATGTACAAGGAGATTAATGTTTAATTAATGGAGATGTGTTTATAATTAACTGATGGAGATGTACAAGGAGTTTAATGCTGTTAGCATGCCTGCTAACACAATATTCATTTTGTAGCCCATGGATCAAGGAATAATTCTGATTTTCAAGTCTTATCATTTAAGAAATACATTTCATAAGACTCTAGCTGCTATGAATAGTGATTCTTCTGATGGCTCTGGGCAAAGCAAATTGAAAATCTTCTTGAAAGGATTCACCTTTCTATTAATAGATGTCCTTAAGAACATTTATGATACATGGGAGGAGGTCAAAATATCAACATTGACAGGAGTCTGGAAGTAGTTAATTCAAACCCTCTTGGATGACTTTGAGGGGTTCAAGACTCTAGTGTAGGAAGCCACTGCAGATTTGGTGGAAATAGCAAGAGAACTACAATTAGAAGTGGAGCCTGAAGATATGACTGAATTGCTGCAATCCCATGATAAAATTTGAATGGATGAGGAGCTGCTTCTTATGGATGAGTAAAGAAAGTAATTTCTCTCTCTGTCTTTCTCTCTCTCTCTGTTTTTAGAGACAGGGTCTTGCTCTGTTACCCAGGCTGGAATGCAGTGGTGCAATCAAAGCTTGTTTCAGCCTTTAACTCCTGGGCTCAAGTGATCTTCCTGCATCAGCCTCATGAATAGCTGGGACTATAGGCACCTGTCATCATGTCTGGCTAGTTTCTTGAGATGGAATATACTCCTGGTGAAGATGCTGTGAACATTGTGGAAATGCCATAAAAGGATTTAGAATATTACTTAAGTTTAATTGATGAAGCATCAGCAGGGCTTGAGAAGACTGACTACAATTTTGAAAAAAGGTCTACTGTGGATAAAATGCTATCAAACAGCATTGCCGGGGATGGGGAACCTGCGGCCTTCTGATTTCAAGATTGTTCTTTTTTATGCACCAAAGGAGGCAAGAAAGGCTTCATCTTTTCTCTGCAGCACCCCTTTTAATAAAATGATTTGTTCTCTAAAATTTGGATTCAGTCAAAAGGCCGCACTCAAGGATCCAGAGGCCACATGTTGGCCCCAAGGCCACAGGTTCCCCAACCAAATAAGGCAAATACTCCACCAGCAAAAAGATTATGACTTGCTGAAGGCTCAAATGATCATTAGAATTTTTTAGCAATAAAGTATTTTTAATTAAAGTATGTACATTTTTTAAGACAATGCTATTACACATTTAATAGACTGCAGTATAGGGCAAACATAACTTTTATGTACACTAGGAAACCAAAAAATTCATGTAACTTGTTTTTTTGTTTATTTATTTATTTTTTACTTTATTGTGGTGCTCTGGAACCAAACCTGCAGTATCTTTAAGGTGTGCCTGTGTATCAGGCAGTAGGAACAGTAGGGGCAGATGCTCTGAAACTGGAGCAGACTTGGCCTGGTTAATTGTAAGCTTAAGAAGTGGGTCCCTAAATTGATGCAGAAGTAACTCATCTCTGATTTTATGATTCATATAAGAAATTCTAGTTTATTGTTTTATAGTCATAGATTGTGGATTTTCTTTTCATAATGATATTTGCCAGCTTTGTGACACATCTTATTTACTACATTGAGCTCTGAATGGCCTTTGAGTGTTTTTACAAAAATCAATCCATCTTCAAATGAACTTTCGCTACAATTTATTTTTTTAATACCACAAACACATTGAATAGCTGCTTATGCCAGACACTATTCTAGGCATGGTAAGCAAATCGAGTGTGTTTCTGCTCCAGTGGAGTGTGTATCTTGTGATGTACTGTGTGCTTTCAAGTCTGTTTCCATAAAAGATGTTACAAAAGAGTTTTGGTCAATGATAGCATCACTGAAGAAAATCTATAGTTAAGAGTACCACTTAATGTGACT